CTATCTAGTTCGGCAGTTTCCGGCTATACAATTTTGGCATTGCAAAAATCGTATAACAGAAATTTTTTATGGGCAACGAAAGACAGGAAATCTTCACTGCCAAGCACAACAGGGCCCACAGGTCAGCCGAGGAAAACGTAAAGAAGGTACTCTCCGAGTACTACTTTCCGAAAATGACCAAATTAGCTACCTAAATCGTAGCGAATTGCAGAACGTGCGCGAAAGATAAGTACGACAGGCATATAAAGAGACAGGAGCTCGGCGAGACACCGATTTCCTCTCGTGTGGGAGAAATGTTACATATTGAAATTTTTTCTACAGAAAAAAAATACTTCCTCACTTACATCGACAGGTTTTCGCAGTTTGCCGTCGTGCAACATGTCCACTTAAGGGCAATTGAGGTCCTCAAACCTCTACTACTACTCAAAGCCTCTACTACAAATCATATATTTTTTTCCAAGAGCTAGAGTTGTCTATTGTAATAATGAACCATCATTAAATTCGCACACTATCTCCATCCTCGTTAACCATTTTGGCGTTAGGATTGCAAATGAGTCGCCCCTCCATAGTGCTTAAACGGGAAAGTAGAGCGCTTTCATCGTACCCTTGTGGAACTTTCACGATGTCTAAAAATCGACAAGGGAATGACGGATACTGTGGAAATAATTTTATTGGCCAAGTCAAAACACTCGGTCGTTCATAGGCGACCAGCCGACGTAGTGCAAGCACACCCAGACAGCCCGCAGACGGAAGTGAATAACAGAATCATACAAGCCCAGAACACTCTTAGGGACAGGGAAAATGAGTCCCTACAAAACAGAGTATTCGAGGTCGGCGACAAAGTCTTGGTTAAGTCAAACCAAAGACTTGGCAATAAGCTTACACCACACTGTAAGGAGAAAGCCATTGAAGCGGACCTGGTGGATAGGTCCTCATCGAGGGGAAGGTGGTTCACAAAGACAATATCAAATAGGATTAGTTTTTTACCCCTTTATGTTTTATTAAAGTAGGATAACATTGGAAATAAACAAATAAGTGTTCCTGGAAAAAATCATTATATCAATGGTTCATCCCACAGGTGCGGAATTATAATCTTACTATTCCTGTCAATGGCGTCGGTACACATTGCCGATAATTCGCGAGCAAAATACATTCCCATCGTTGATGGAGAGGTATTAGTAAAGGAAGAATTTGCATATGTGACTTACTCTGCAAACCTTTTGGAGTACACGAGAATACTAGACAAAACAACAAACATGTGTGACAAGTTTCCCCAGTCGCATATGGGGAAGTTACTGGAAGTAGATACCGTACTTATACGAGACCTACTGGAATCGTTAGGCGTGCATCATAGGGTTTCCAGGAGCTAAGATATTCTGCGATCAATCTTAAAGGTAGTAGCAGCAACACCGGAGGTTGGTGATATGGATAAGACAATAGACCGAAACAACAGACAGGTGGAAATTAACAGTAAAGTTTAAAATAAAATCAACCAATTGGCCGCCACAGTACTTCAAATCCTCAATGTTACAAAGAATTCACAAGTCGACATAGCATAACATCCGTTAAAATTTACAATCTGCCAATTCCTTACATTTCATAGTTAAGTTTCCAAAGGCAAAGTTCGCCTGTAAGTCTGAAAAGTCACAATATTACCTATCACTCATCATAATGTCATGCTGTGGATACCGGACAATGTTGTGGCAATGTGTGGTGGAGAATTCCACGCTGTTAAGAATTTGTTATTATCGTGAAGCTCATTTGAGAGTTCAACAAGGACATTGGGACTAATCTGAAATACCGCGCAATGCTTATAGTAGGAATACTATGTTGTGCGATGATGGCCGTTGCCATAACCTATCTCCATTTCTTCAAGGGCAAGAAGATCTGCGGCACAGATAAGGCAGAGGGCGGCCCTAATTAAAAGGAGGGAGTCGTTAACAAGTAAACATAAACCAGCAAAAGTGAATCGACTAGCAGCTGACTTTTGTTGTTGTTTAGCTCCGACCGAAATTGCTGATCCAACATTTAGCCCGGATGGTCGTGCTCAAACGGCAAGCACTGTATATTTGCGTGGCCGCAGTGAGTCTTTTGTTAGCTTTAAGTTTCTTTTCATTTCAGTTTATACCGAAACCTTGAATAAAGAGAACAAGCTCTGGTCTCTCTCACCGACACGACTGCGAAGGAACCTCTACGGAGAAAAGCATTAATTCGTATAATGAATACTTTATCATTCCATGAAAATTAGTTCAGCTAACGCCAGGACCAATTTAGCCAATTCTTCTTTTTTATAGTTCGTTGAAGTCCAAGGATGGTTTCTACGGCGAAAAAAATTCGAAAAATTGCCGTGAAACCCACAAAAACAGCTCTTTTCATTTTCCCAACAAAAAAAAAACCCAATAGTCACAAGCGATTTGGATGAAAAACTATCAAATTGAGTTTTGTGACAGTTTTTTTTTAATAATGCCTTCTATTAAAAAATAACTAAAAATTAAAATTGACCACAAACATGAGAATCACTTTACAGAATGACGCCTCTGCTGCTGAATTTTTAAGACAACTTGGCGCCTGGCAGTGACAATATTACTGTTAATGCTTCAATTGATTGATATCGTTCCCGGCCAATATTTCGGAATTCACGTCATTGAAGGAGGAACTCATCAACAAATTAAAAAAAAAAAAAAAATTATACATACATATTTCGATTTGATTAATAAACGACCAATACAAGCAACGAAGAATAAAGACGTCGATAGGTTGAATTCCATTAAATATCAAATCCCTAGAGAGATGCATTCATATGGTCACGTGGATGGCGTGACCAACGAAGATTAAGCGACTAACTATCCGACGGAGTTTTTGAACTCGCTTTTGAACACCGAGTTCGAAACCTGTCTTCTTTGTTTATTTCTGCGCCGAAAAATAAATTTAAAAAAATTATTTACCGTATCGCTCTCAACCGTTGAAGTTCAAACAAATTTTATAATAATTTGAATTATTTGCATTTTATTGGAGTTATATAAAACATCAATTAGAGGTGGGACAAAGTGCGCCGGGTCAGCTAGTTAATAATCATAAATGTGAAGTTGTGAAATGTGTTGCAATGTCAATCTAATACTAAAAAAGCCACACTGGCTTTTAAGTAATTGAGTCAAGATTTTCAGCTACTGTGAAGTCATTAAATTTAGACTTCATTAGAACCTTGAAAGAGAGAACATGTATTATTTTCCTCAAATCTTTTTTGTAATAAAACTACGGTGACTTAAAAGGTAAAAAAGACTCAAACTGGTGCGGGGTAGAACGTGTTAATGTATTTTTTTGTTTCAGCAGTAATTTATTTGAAAAGCCGTAAATATATTTTAAACCTTATATGTCATATAATTGTATTTAATTTTAAATAAAAATCTACCTTCTATGTTGCGCCGCAATTGCAATGTAGCCGAAAAATTATTTTTCTTTGATTTATTTTTCTTGCTCAGCATATAACATCCACATAAATTCAAGAGAGCGGCAAACAAATAATAAACGTTGTTGGACCATTATGACTGGAAACCTCTAATGACATGGCTAATAGAATTAATAATAATAATAATTATTTACAATTTTACTTCATTAGAGCAGTATATTGTTATCAATATCTAGTATATTTAACGTATATCTATAGATTTTTGCGGCTAATGCATTGACAATCGTATCGTCTTGCTAGCACTGGCAGTGTCATACTAGTATAAACAACTTAAAATATCGTATTAGCAGCTTGTATGGGAACAGCTGTTTTCGGTTGCCTTTATTTTCAGTCATTTAGTGGTTAATGGAATACCCTTATTAGTTTTTTTAACTTTTACTTTTTCCCCATCCGTATGAAATATTTAGGATGTAACAGCGTTACATCTCCATCCGATCAGCTGGGCGATCATCTGTGGCGTATACAAAATTTAAACACAGTTTTCAAATGGCTACTGCGAGAGCAGTCAACAACTATTTTCGGATGTTCAACAAGCGGAAAACATGGAGATAGGGGAAGATTATGTTTACCATACATATATTAAACTTAATTAGATGACGAGGAATCGGAAATTGTCAAACGATTTTTCTTTAACAATAAGCAAATGCCCCGAAGAGTGTGCATTCTGGTATGGCTCCAGATTATTTATTTAAAATAAGGCAGAAATAGGAGTTAAATAAAAAAGTAGCATTTCGAAAAAACTTGGGCTAGAATATACCGAAAAACACCGACTAATTTCTCTGGCATACTTTGAACTTTGTTTACATTTTCATTGTGAATGCTCAAGATTTCAGCCTATATTGCATATTGCAATCATTGTTCGTAAGAAGTGACCTTTTTTGGCGACTGGAAAAGCTCTACATGCGAGCAATGTTTTTATTTTTGAGTTTCCCTTCATTTTGCCATTTTAAATATTTGCAAGTTTATTTATTTTTCTTTTAAAATTACCTTATTTCAAGCAAACTACCCGAGCAAACTAATAATTGAGAAGTTCTTTTTTTTTTTTTTTGATTAGATTTTTTTTACCTTGATCGGTCACGATTAGTTTTTGAAGTTAGGGGCTTAAAAATATTTAAATAAATAAATAAATTAAATGTTGAGTTTTATATTTGTGTTTTAAAAATATTGGCTATTACTTGAGTGATTTTTTGATTAAAAAAGGAACAATTACGAATATTTCATGTTTTAATTTAGTATCCGTAAAAAAATTATTTTACATTAAATAATAATTGTACATTCACCCTTAAACCAAAAAACATTTTTTTTTTCACTATGTATGTATATAAATACTCACTTATGTATGTATATAAATACTATACCCATTCACGCACATACGTACATATGTAAATAAATACATATGTACATATGTATGTATATCAAGAAATCATCAATATTGGCGCTTTCATGGAATTGAAGCGCGGCTAATTTTGAGGATTTATGCGTGGTTTTTGGGCAAATATAAGACAATAATAATAACATATGTAATTCTTCATACCCATTTAAAATTGCCTGCTTTCGTTCGACAAAGGTTGAATATTCAAAATCTAAATACTTCCATTCATTAATAATCTGAAACTGACTTTCTCTTTTGAAGGTCTCTGGAATCAAATGACGAAAAGCATGACCATCAAGTCCTTGGGAATCTGAATACACAATATAGGTTCCATTTAAAATCGCGATAAGAAATAGGAATTGCGTTATAAAATTTATTCGAGCGCTGTTCATTAGTAACAATTGCATTGTGCAAATTTTTAATTTAATAACTGATATGTCGGCAATGTTATAAAAGTTTTGTTCACTGCTATCGAACTTGAAATAACCAACTGAGTTGGATGGTGGATAGTTTTACAATTTTTTTCTTTCAAGACCTTTAATTTCAAGTTATTAGTTGAGTACTGTTTATACAACGAATTCGTAGTACAACTAAACTAAATAACATTTCTTGTATTGAAAAAAAAGCTTTTTAAGCTTTTTACTAACATAAGATAAATTCGTCTGAAGAATGTTGGTTTAAGCAAACTTTATGAAGTGTTATTGAAATAAATTCGAAATTCCCCGCTATGAAGTTGGAGGCAAATAACCAGAGGCACCAACGCCCGATAAAAGATTATTTTCTTATTTTAAATGTCATTTGTGAAACAAATCTTATATTATTGGCCTCGTCAGTAAGTGTTCAAATTCTGCTGGCTAGAAAAGCAGTGCATGGCAAATTTTTTTTATTTTTTAAATTTCCCCCCATCATGACTTTGAAAATATATAACATATATCATTAATTTCGCTTGGGAGATCACAGCTGTTCAGTTTTTGATCGTTCAGAACATTTATCTTATCGTACACTCCCGGGCGAAAAATCAGAAAGTTCTTCGTTCTCGTTTCTCTACCTTTTTTATGTTGTAAGCGGCTCACAGTCCCTTCCAGAATATTTATTCTTTGAACCGCCAGAACATAAGGGTGCCTATAATTTCGGCGGGTCTTAGAAGGGGATGAAGGGCCCCTTCAGGAGTCTGACTCCTCCCTTTTAAACTAGGCAGGTGGCTCGGCAGATCCCAGCAACCGCTTTACCACTTTACGCCCGGAATTATCCAGCGGCGTCTCCCCTTCAAGGTGGGACAGAAGACCCGGAATGTTTTAGCCGCCGTCGCCAGAGTCCGCGCCCGGGATGTTCCAGCGGCCGCTGCCCTGGCCTGCTCCCGGAATGAAACAGCAGCGGCGAGCTCCTACTCTCGTCCCGCCTCGACCCCACGCCCGGAATTCTCCAGCGCCGATGGCATAGCTCATATCGAAGTGTCAGCGCCCATCTTTGAGCGGCTTGACCACGGCCTAATTTTACCATCGATTTTGGCGGCAGCGCTTCCCCAGCCCTAAGGCTTCCCGTTTCTGTTCTTAGCGTTCCCAGAAACGGCGTCTTCGGCCTGCTCTCGGGCGGCTGCATGCCTGCTTCGTGGTGGCTCTGTCGAGTGTTTGCTCTGCCCAATGGCGGCACGATTGGGTGTAGGCTCTGCCGTTGTATGGCTCTGCCAAAGCGTGGCTCTGCCGAGGGCTGGCTCTGCCGTGTGTTGGCTCTTCCGTAGTATAACCCTGCCGATCGTGTGGCTTTGCCAGTGTCGGCTCTTCCTTGTGTTGGCTCTGCCAGGTGCATGGCTCTGCCGATCGTTTTTTGGCTCGGACGATTCTTGTCTCCACCGAACGGCGGTTCTGCCGTGTGTTGCGTCTGGCGATGCGTGTGTTGGTTGTGCCGGGGTTGTCTCTGCTGGTGTGTTCGCGTGGTTATTAACTGACTTATACATATATCCCCAATTTAGCTATAGGCTAGCAGTAACACTAATTTTATGGCAAGGGAACTCCTCCTCCCCGTAGTCTCAAACCGAGAGTCCGGGAGAGTACATAGTCCTCCCGGGTCGGGCCGTACACCTCCGCCAAGTCGCTGTCGCTACTGGGCCCCGTTGGTGGGCCATAGCGGTCAGGCTAGGGGCCATGATCCCCGTGGTCGTGGAGGAGTCATTTCGACCCGCAGTGAGGTTGCATACACCACGAGTTGTGACGTGTCGGAGGCTCCCTAGGATGACCCCTCTATCGTTTCGGGAGCTACAGCTTCCCGGGTCAGTGGTCGGACCTCCGGCAACAGGTATGGCGCGGCTGCTTGGCCCTAGAATGGACGTACCTCGGCTGAAGTGGAGCGGCGGGCGACGCTGGAGTAGCGGCGGCTAGGCTCGTGTCCTGGTTAGACGTGATCTGTGAAGGAGAGAGAGTTGCGTTAGGGGTGTCTCTCGTAGAGCCCTACCTAATGAGTTCCATGCACAGAAACTTACAGAAGTTCTGGAACGAGTGGCCCGTAAACTGCATTCCGTTGTCGCACACGATTTGTTCGAGTTGTGACCCGGTAGTCTTGCGTAGAGGAACTAGCTCTACCCTTGTACTTAAGGCGTCCAGAAACACAACGAGCATGGTGTTGCCCTGTTTCAAACGTGGAAGAAGGCCGACGAAGTCTGCGCAGAAAAGGTGGAAGGGCTCCACGACCTGACGTGTAAATATCGTCCCGTCAGGTTTCTCCTGGTTGACTTTGTACCTCTGATAGCTCCTGCAGTAACGAACGTAGAAATAGCGCTGGGCCACGCCATTACTTCATTTCCGAATTACTATGTGTACGGCGGTGGGGTTATCGTGGCACTCCTCGACGTCTCGGTCGCGATAGGCGGTGCCAAGGCGTGTACTTCTCTTCCCTCGGCCAAAGTCCAATGCGGCGATATAGTCGCCCATCTTCCTCCCGGTTGTCTGGGAACTCGGTTGGATCCGTGCCAACCTTCTGCAGCATCCTCGCGATGATGATTTGACTCCTTGTACCTGTGCATGGGGCGCCACTGTCAGTGGTTAGCGAGAAAGGACTTTGGCCACAAAATTCTGGGCCCCTTTCCGGTAATGGACGTCGTATTAATACTGCTGCAACTCCAGAGCCCAACAGGCAATCCTGCCCGGATTGTCTATTGCATTCAGCCATTTCAACGTGTGACGATCCGTGAGAAAGTCGAAGCGGTATCCCTTCATGTAACACCGCATTTTTCGGACTACCCTTTCCGGTCCGTTGATGCACGCTTCTGAAGCACGAACTTTTCTCCAAAATCCGAGCACGCCAGGACTGTCGCTTCCGTTAGCAGTGTCCTTAAGTCCTGAAAGGCTCTGCGTCCACCCCGTCCAATTGGGCGGCTGGTTCACCGCCGTGGGCGGGTCTGAGTCCGGCCTTCGAGGGGACACGCTATCTTCTCTTTCAGTTGGCTCCGTGCTGGTGGTATCATGGCTGGTCTCGGCGACTGTGCTCATCTTCATCGGTGGATTGGGACTCCGTCGTTGATCCTCAGTGTTTAGAACGTGGCTCATCTCCATGGGTGGAGTTTGACTCCGTCGTTGATCCTCGGTGTGTAGAGCATGGTTCCGGTGGTTGATCTCGTGGGCGAGGGCGTGGCCCGCTGAGGGGTCAGACGCAGGGTGGTCTCGGATGAGCCTCCTGTTCTGGTCAGAACGGTCCGCGTCCGGGCCCAGGGTGGCTTGGTATGTTCGTCCAGCATGGTTGATTCGATCCCGCAAAGGAAATCCATTCCGAGAAGTACGTCGTCCAGGACGTATGATATCACCAGGATATTGGCCGATTGTTGATTGTTGATGATGATTGTTGATGTTCCGTCAACTAGCTTAACTTGGGTCCTGAAGTCCCACATGTTCCAGTCGATCCGGCAGGTATCGGCACGCTCCTCGATGTGCTCTATGAATCCCAGTGGGTCTGTCGTCCTATCAAACGAGAGCCCCACGTGGTCATTCGGTTCAGTAGCGTGGTTCCCATCTTGAAGTCAGTGTGGTGGGTCGCGGCCCGCGGAGGTTCTACCGCCTTCGGAGTCAAGCGTCACCCGGCGGTTGCGTTCCCGAAGGTCCGTTCAAGCTCGTCGAGACGCGACTGTCTCGGCATTATCGGGCTGGCGCGCGAAATCTATGAGTCGAGCGCGCTGCTCGTCCACCAGACTGGCTCGCTCCAGACCAAACTCGTTGAGGAGGGCCTCCAACTCGACTTTGTTGGGGTAGCTTATCCAGGTCACCCATAATTAATTCGGTACGTGGCAGAACGATCGGAGTTTATGGTACGACGGTACGTGGGACACCCAAGGATCTGCATGCTTGAGAGCGGGCCACGACTACCCGCGTTGAGAACTTCGACAATATAAGGATGCTCGCGACGGCTTCGGGTTTCGCAGAATCCCTGTGTATTTTCCCGTGTTCTCAGCGGTAATTTTTATTTTATTCGATTTAATTTAATTCACAGGATATTCTGGAGAACGCAGGATCCCTGGGTTCTTTGTTTGGTTAGGATCACGCAGGATCCGTGGAATATTCACTGGTGGTTAAGGATTCGTCGCGAGATTATTCGAAAGGATGTTGTGTCCTTGGATATTAAAAGTCCTCCCGTTGTGTGAGGATAAATGTCGCCGGCGAGGTTTTAGTTTGAGTATTCGCCAGCAACGTGGCTGCTGGCAGAGGCCGTCAGGGTGTGTAAGGGTTGCGTGGTCTTTGCGGCAGACGACTTTCTCTACCAGCGTCGACGTTGGTACTGTTGATCAAATGGCGATGATTAAGTTAACTATTTATTTCTCGTGGAAGTATGGAAAATCCAATCGGCGATTCCTCTTTACCCTTTTCCTACGTTGGTATCTGGCTGACGCCAGCATGGCGGAACACGTGTGTAAAGTACCTCCTAGTATATTTTTACGGCCCAAAGGCTACCCGTTTATGTTCCTTGATGTCCCAGGAACGGCGGCTTCGTCCTGCTTTCGGGCGGCTGCATGCCTGCTTTGTGATGGCTCTGCCGATGCGTTTGTTGGCTCTGCCGTGTCTCTGCTTTATTTCCTGACTTCGTCACAATGTGGATTTTAATCGCTGAAGAACGTGTACCTTACCTTAGAACTAGGCTTTAGTTATAATTATTTTGTAATCATGTGTAAAAACATTTGTTGGGAGTGATTAACTTGTCTCTATTGGTTTTGAAACCGGTCATAATCTACAGATCATGATCAGCTAAACAAGAAAAAATCTAATTAACACTTCTTGTTTTTTATATACACTCATATCAACATCGAGCATATCAAATTCAAATGGACAACGCATGGAAACCAAATGAAAAATTTCGGAACAGCACACAGTAATGCAGTTTTCATAAACCATCCAGTTCATTAGGACCTTGGAAATGTTATTTTGCTTGGATTTGTTTTTGAAATGCGCGTCGGGTCACACCGATTTAGAAAGATAAGTATATAGAAGACTAATGCAAGGTTTCATTCTGATAGCTTCCAAAATGAGAGACTAGTTTGCGTAGAAACGGACGGACGGACAGACGAACATGGCTTGATCGACTCGGCTATTGATGCTAATCAAGAATATATATACTTTATATGGTCGAAGGTGACTCGTTCACTGCGTTGCATGCACTGATGCATGGCTCTTATAGCCAAGAAGGCAGCTGTCTTAGTTCAATAAGTCACTGTGTTTAACTTAAAAACACTAAGCTCGTCCGTGGAGTTCTCTCTCAC